TGGCTGTTGTCCTTTTTTTGGCTGTGCAAGGAAGCAAAGCACATCTGCCTACATGTTCCCTCTTTTTACTTTTTTTTTTTAATGCAGTCACAAATAGAGGACTTAACACAAGTGGTTTACATTTTATTTCTGATGGGCAGCACTGCTCTAGAGAAAAATAATGATCTCCCCTTTACAACATGTTTTTAAAAATAGAGATAACTTAAATTAAAAATACTATAAGAGAGCCCTGGCCAGTGTGGTTCAGTTAGTTGGAGTGTCATCCCACACACCAAAAGGCTGCAGTTTCAATTTCTGGTCAGGGCACACACCTAGGTTGCCCTGTCCAGGCAACCTAGTCCAGTCCAGGCATATATGATTGTATATGGGAGGCAACCAATCAAAGTTTCCCTCTCACATAAATGTTTTCCCTTCTCTCTCTCCATTCTCCCTCCCTAAAAAAAAAAAAAAGAAAAAGAAAAAGAAAAAGAAAAAATGTCCTCAGGTAAGGATTTTTTTAAAGTACTATAAGAGAACCTAGGAATATAAATTAGAATCTGAGGATCAGATGGATCTCTTAATGAAAAGAACATGTCACACATATATGAGTATGTAGAAATTGATAAGAAGACAAACAACCCAACAGAAGAAAGGGTCAAAGGGCAGGACTAGAAATGCACAGAAAGAGAAATAATAATAACAAAAAGGTACTCTAAATCAGGCATCCCCAAACCACAGTAATGGTCCATGGTCCACTAAGATCTAGGCTGCACAGCAGGTGTTGAATGGTGTGTGGGCAAGCGAAGCTTCATCTGTAGTTACAGCCACTCCCCAATACTTGCATTACTGCCTAAGCTCTGCTTCCTGTCCTACATTATGGTGAGTTATACAATTATTTCTCTATATGCTACAATGTAATAAAAAATAAAGAGCACAATAAATGTAATGCACTTGAATGATCCTGAAACAATCACCCCCATCCCAGTCTGTGGAAAAACTGTCTTTTACAAAATTGGTCCCTGGTGCCAAAAAGGTTGGAGACCACTGCTCTAAATGACTAAGGAAGAGAAAATCCAATTCAAGTAACTAAGACATCTCCACTGTGTAAAAAAATAAAAACATAGATAATACCTCTGCCAGGAATGTGGGAAAGGGACAAGCTCATGTATCGCTGCCAAGGTAAATGTAAAGAATAACAGACTTCTGAAAAACTAATATGGCAATAACCATTAAAATTAGAATTACATACTATCCTTCAACATGGGAACCTTTCTCACAGTAATGAATCTACTATACGTATTGGCATATGTTCAAAGAATCTGCATTGTAACACTGTTTATGGAGCAGCAAAAAAAGGAAACTAAGTAACATTCAATAGGAAACTTAGTATAAATGTCCCTCTGCTGACGGAAGGTTGAAAAAAGTGTGGTACCTACAGAACAAAACCAGTTATGCAATCATTAAAATTGTCAAATGAAAAATATCACCAAAATTATTTTATTTCATAATGTCAGTACTAGCTCCATGGCAGGGAAACAGATTACCTCATACTATGCTGGTATGGGCATAAACAGCCACAACCTTATAGAAAAGAAGCTAGAAGACTCTATTAAATATTTAAATTTCCATACCTTTTCACTCAGCAGTCCAACTTCCAGAAATCTGTCCTAATATATGGTATGAAAGTCTAAATATACATAGGCAAGTACACTAAATCATCATATAGCATACCTTAAACTAACACAATGTTGACTGTCTTTCTTTGATATTTCTCATAATTAAAAAATAAAATAAACGGGGTGGAGGGAATAGATGCCTTGTCTTTTTATGAATAAGAATCTCAGTAATCTGGACAGTTGAACCCTCTCCACCCCAATCCACCATACATGACCTCTATCAGTTTTCTACCTGTACTGCTAATATACCCATTTTCTCTATATGAGTCATTAATTATAAGGCATCTTCTATTCTCCTTTCCTGATATAAAAACAATATTAAAAATGTATGTTTATAGGACTTCAGGCCAAGATGGAGGCATAGGTAGATATGCTTTGCTTCCTCACACAACCAAAAGAAGGACAACAATCAATTAAAAAAAACAACCAGAATTGCCAGAAAATCAAACTGTATGGAACTCCAACCAAGGAGTTAAAGATGAAACATTCATCTAGACTGGTAGGAGGGGCAGAGACCAGCAGCCAGGGGAGAAAGGACCACAGCAAGGGGGCAGCTGGTGGACCAGGTGGTCCCATATTCGTTTGCAGATAAACCAGGAGGAACATCTAGGGAAAGAGACAGACTATACAACCCAGGGTTCCAGCACAGGGAAATAATGCCTCAAAACCTCTGGCTGTAAAAACGTGTGGGGGTTGTGGCAGCAGGAGAAACTCTCAGTCTCAAAGGAGAGTCAGTCAGAGGGACCTGCGCAGTCCTAGAACATATACAAACCTACCCACCCAGGAATCAGCACTAGAAGAGTCCAATTCACTTGTGGGTAGCATGGGAAGTAACTCAGAATCAAGCAAGCAGCACTGCTCCCTCTCTGACCCTGCCCCCACATACAGTGCCACAATGCAGGGAAGTATGTTGCCATGCCCTGGCAATACCCAAGGTTCCAACCCTTATAACAGGGGTGTCAAACTCATTTTCACTGGGGGCCACATCAGCCTCACAGTTGCTTTTAAAGGGCCAAATGTAAGTTCAACTACTTAACAGTTAAGGAGTAGTTACATTTATACAGTCCTAAAATTATTTCGGCCCTTCGAAGGCAACCACGAGGCTGATGTGGCCCCTGATGAAAATGACTTTGACACCCCTGCCTTACAACACAACAGGTACACTGAGAAAAAGAAAAATGGCTCAAATGAAATAACAGATCACCCTGGCTGCTATGGCTCAGTGGATTGAGTGTCAGTCTGCAAACCAAAAAGGGTTGCCAACCAGGGCACATGCCTAGGTGGTGGATCACCCAGTAGAGTACGCAAGAGGCAACTACACAATGTTTCTCTCCCTCTCTTTTCCCCTCCCTTCCCCTCCCTAAAAATAAATAAATAAAATCTTTAAGAAAAGGAAAAGCAATGTTTTTAAAAAAGAAAAAACAGATCCAAACTCCAGAAAAAGAATTAAGTGATGAGGAGATAAACAACCTATCAGATGCAGAGTTCAAAACACTGGGAATCAGGATGCTCAAAGAAATAATTGAATATGGCTGCAAAATAAAGGAATAAGTGAAGCCTATACAAAGTGAAATAAAGGAAAATGTACAGGGAACCAATATGAAAGGAAGGAAACTGGGATTCAAATCAAAGAGTTGGACCAGAAGGAAGAAATAAACATTCGACTGGAACAGAAGAAACAAAAATGCTAAAAAATGAGGAGAGGCTTAGGAACCTCCAGGACATCTTTAAACGTTCAACATCAAAATCATAGTGGTGCCAGAAGGAGAAAAGAAACAGCAAGAAATTGAAAACTTATTTGAAAAAATAATGAAGGAAAACTTCCCTAGTTTGGCAAAGGGACTAGACATGCAGGTCCAGGACACTCAGACAGCCAAAGAATTTGGATCCAAGAAGAAACACTCTAAGATAGAACATAACCAAATTACCCAAGATTAAAAATAAGAAGAGAATGTTAAAAGCAGCAAAGGAAAGAGTTACCTACAAAGGAGTTCCCATAAGATTGCCAGCTGATTTCTCAAAAGAACCCTTGCAGGCAAGAAGGGGCTGGAAAAAAGTATTCAAAGTCATGAAAGACAAGCACCTACATCCAAGATAACTCTATCCGGCAAAAATATCATTTAGAATGGAAGGGCTGATTAAGTACTTCCCACATAAAGGGAGGTCATCATCACCAAGCCCTTATTATATGAAATGTTAAAGGGACTTATCTAAGAAAAAGAACAAAACTATTAACAGTAAAATTATAACAAACTCACAACTATCACCAACTGAACCTAAACAAACAAAAACAAACTAAACAACTATCCTGACTGGTGTAGCTCAGTGGATTGAGCGCAGACTTGCGAACCAGACAATCGCGGTTCGATTCCCAGTCAGGGCACATTCCTCGGTTGCAGGCAGGTTCCCTGCAGGCCAGTTCCCAGCAGGAGACGCACAAAAGGCAACCATACATCGATATTTCTCTCTCTCTCCTTCCCTTCCCCTCTGAAGATAAGTAAATAAAATCTTAAAAAAAAAACTAACTTTATTTAAAAAAAACAAAGAAACAAACAACTAGAACAGGATCAGAACCACAGAAATGGAGATCACATGGAAGGTCATCAGCAGGGGAGTGGGGAGGGGGAAGGTACAGAGAATAAGTAGCATAGATGGCAGGCAGGAAATAGACAGGCGGAAGTTAAGAGTAATATAGGAAATGGAGAAACCAAACAACTTACATGTACAACCCATGGACATGAACTAAGGAGGGAGAATGCTGGAGGGAGGAGTTCAGGGCAGAGGGGGAAAAGGGGAGAAAAAAAATGACACAACTGTAATAGCATAATCAATAAAATATACTTGAAAAAAGAAGTATGTTTATAAATTGTCATCTCATTTAAAGAATCGTCTCATCATTATAATTCACTTTTGCATATTACTGTGTTGGAAATCCCTTGGTTTAAATCAACATTATAATACCTCTCACTCTCCCTCCAAAGCCAGGATAAAAAGGCTGACTACCCAGTCACCCCACCTTAGCACTGATGCGTTTTGTGAACTAGAACAAGTACTGCTGCGACAACCCCTAATGACCCAATAGCAATGGGGGTGGGGGAGTTAACAAATGTAGTTTAATTAAGTTTAATCCTCTCCAAACATTGGCTACCGAAAAGAATGAACAAAAAGTAAAAGAACAGTAACGAAAAAGTAGACCAACTGTATTTACTATGTGTGACCAGAAATCTTTGAAATTTGAATATTTTCTGCAAGTAAACAGTTTGTAGCTCACAGGATGAGAGGATAAATACCACATTGTTTGTAACAGTATCGCAAGTTACACAGAAACACTTTGAGCCACTGACCATTGCCCTGGGAGGGTACACCGAAATTTGCTCATCTCTTTCAGTCAGCATTTTACATGCCAAGTGTTGGGGTAGAGAAAGCTGGGCAAGCTGCCTTCTGAACCAGAAGGGTCCTACACTCGTAGGTCGAGCTCTTCCGGACGCCCATCACACCCTCTTTCTCCAAAGTCGCAGGCCTAAGAAGCTTCCAGCAGCAAGGTCGGTGTAATGCATTGGAGTCCACACAAGCACTATCTACTCCTGTGGAGAAGCTCAAGTCACATCCCTAGCAGTGAAAAGAACCGGCCTGGGCTTGCACGCAGCTTTAGGGCGTTCAGGACGCTTGCTGTTACGCGAAGCGACGATCTGAGTATACAAAAGTGAGCAGCAGAATCGCAGTACCAGCTCTCTCGCGGGTCCCACTCCAGCGGAGACGATCATTTCCTCAACGCCCACCTAGCAGGGATACGGCGAGGAGCACCTGAAGCCCAAGGCTGCGAGAACTTACTCCCATTAAGGTAAATAAATAACGCTAAAGTAGTCGGAAGTGACGTATTCGGTGAGACCAGCAGGTCAGCCACGTAAGTGGCAGCCTCCTCAACTAGCCACTTTCCCCCGGGTCTGGCCGGCGGAGGATAACTGTAGCTCAAAGTCCGTCACCCGCCCTGCCTCTGCGGCTCCCAGCAGCATCCGAAGCAAGCGGAGCCCAAGCCCAAACCAGACCGGACAGCCTCGCAGCTCGCGCCCGGCGGCGCCTGGCGGGCAATGGGCTTCAGAGCTCAGCCACGCGCATGCGCGGCCCATTCACCAGTGGAGTCCACGGACCACCTGGACAACCACGCTTCAGCCACCTGCCCCTCTGGGTCCTTTCCCACCCTTCACTCCTTCAGCTCGTTCTCACCTCTGGCCTCCGGTCTTCTGCAGGTACGGCTAAGCGCTCCCGCAGCCACCCGGTAATACCCGGCTTCCACTGACACAAGCCGCTCGGCGCGGCTTCCGTTTCCGGCGAGTATTGTGTGTCGCGCTGCGGGCGAGGGAGGGGGGAGGAGGAAAGAGGGAGGCAGCGCTCCGGCGGCTCCGCGCCCCGCACTGCCGGACCCGAGGCCGGGAAGGTAGGTGCTGTCCCGCCGCCGAGCCCGGGCTCCGGGGCCTGCCCCCACCGCCCGTCTCCACACGCCGCGTCCCAGCGCCCCGCCACTGCGCCACCGGCCCGCACGCAACCACAGCTGCCTCCGCCCGCCTCGGGCCCGGGCGGACGTTTTGCCACCCGGCGACGTCAGCGCGTCCGGCGTTGCTTGGCTACCCCGCGTTCCCCTGTCCCGCTGCTGCTCGCCTCCCCGGGTGGAACTCTGACGCTGTCTTCGCGGGTCTGGGCTGCTTTCTAGCAGCAGGCACCCCACCTTCACGTCACACTCCTCACCTGGACACGCATCCCTTCCTCTCTGCCAACCTCTCCCTCTCTCCAGTACCCTGCACCTGATCTGACGGTAGAAGATGGAGACGGGGGTGGGATCGAGTCGTGTGGACCACGCTCAGGAGAGGGTCGCAAGGTGGGACCCCGGACAGTGGTAGAAACAAAACGAGAACATGCCTGAAGTTTGCCCTTCTACAGAGATACGAGTAATAGAGGGAAACAAATGACCAACCCAGATGCGCCCGAGGCCTCACTGTGGCTGTAGCCCCAATCCTTTCCATGCTTCCCAAGATTTTCCCCATTGTTTTCACACCACACTTTGCAAGTCTAGATCCCTAACGCCAGCTCCCTAATTCTGCATACAATCCAACTCGCCCCAGGTGAGGAGGCCATCTAATTTCTAGAAGACTGGGAAAAGGGCCAGGTCACTACTCAAAATTGGGGTTCCATAGGAGGGGAAACATCATCTAACTAAGCATTCTCTCCTGGTTGAGGAAACAAATTGAGTTCCAAATCAGTTACCACTCCAAATTAAACGCTTCACATGTGCCATCAATAGGCATACAGGAATAACAATTATTGTTAACCCAGCTCATCATATGGTCGCTTCTCTCTCAGCACGTAGACCTACTGAAGTTCTTTCCTTCTGTTGGGTTCCTTGGAGGGGAGGGTCAGGATGGACAGGAGGGGTCATGGCAATATGGAAATCAACCATCTCATGGGTAAAAATTAGGTTTTAAGGATAGAGTAGGGGACCAACTTCTGCTTTCTAAATCTCTGATGCATTTCCAATTCCTTTGAGGCTTCACTTCAAAGAGATTTTGATTGCATCTTTACTTTTCTCTCCCAACCACTCCAAAACCTATTAACTGGAGGCACTGTACATCTAATGAGTTAGTTATCAATAGCTGTTTCATGAGACTGCTGAATATTTCAAATAGACTTTTCAGCCCTCTTTTAAAGAAGTTATTGGCCTGGGCTCAGTAATACACTCTTTAGTATTGTTGCCATGAATTTATCATTTCAGCAGTTTCAAAGGTCCAAATGCACAAATGAAAATGGGATGTGTGCATCATTTCATTCCAAGAAGAGGACACACTTCCTCTAGGCTAGTCTGACAAAAGGAAGAATAATACCAAAACTTTCCTGAAAAGAGGAGGTTGTTACCCTTGCATAACTAATTCCATCGGAAAAAGTGAGAGAACAGTGGCAGAGAATCAGGCTCAGGTTCCAATGGACTGTTGTGATAAAAGTATTCTGTAACATTAAACTTTATATACCTAATTTACTAAATCTTAATACTTTGACTTTTATGACACTCTGCACTGTCCCAAACTCCTTTCTCATCTATTAGAAAAATATGCAAAACTGGGGTGGAAATGGGAGGGAAGTGGGGAGCACTGGGGACGTAGGCTGGGATGGGAGTAAAAGACAAAAAACTGTACTTGAACAATAATTAAACTTAAAAAATGCTTTATAAAAAATATGCAGAACTAGGGATACATTGATCTAGAACTATTGGTTTTAGGATACAAGTGGAATAAACCTGGATCAGGAGAAATAGGCAGAGCTAGAGTTGAAGGAAACCTGTTTCTAACAAGGGAAAGCAGAGATGAAAGACAAAAGATATTGGGGGGTCATGTGTCAGTTTGCTGTTGAAAAAAAATGTATGGCCAGGAATCACAAGTTTTGGAAATGGAGAAATGAAAGGTTGAATCTAGTGACAGAGAAAATGTAAAATACCAACATGGGGCTGAATCTGGAGTTAGGATTTTACATGTGGGTAAATGTCAGGACAGGGATGAAAAAAAAAAAAATTAAACCTCCATCTAACATTTTTGTCTGCCCTCTTCCTATTTCCAAGTTAAATAATGGCAGAGACAAGTCTGTTAGAGGCTGGAGCCTCTGCATCCTCCACAGCTGCTGCTCTGGAGAACTTACAGGTGGAAGCAAGTTGTTCTGTGTGCCTGGAGTATCTGAAGGAGCCTGTTATCATTGAGTGTGGGCATAACTTCTGCAAAGCTTGCATCACCCGCTGGTGGGAGGACCTAGAGAGGGACTTTCCTTGTCCTGTCTGTCGCAAGACCTCTCGCTACCGCAGTCTTCGCCCTAATCGTCAACTAGGCAGTATGGTGGAAATTGCCAAGCAGCTCCAGGCTGTCAAGCGGAAGATCCGGGATGAGAGCCTCTGCCCCCAGCACCATGAGGCCCTCAGCCTCTTCTGCTATGAGGACCAAGAAGCTGTATGTTTGATATGTGCAATTTCCCACACCCACCGGGCCCACAATGTCGCACCACTGGATGATGCCACACAGGAGTACAAGGTGGGGAACTAGAGTACATGATGTCAATGTGGGGCATAAAGGAGGAACACAGAGGTGGGAGGGTTCCCTGAGGAGAGCATCATATGAGGGGGGACCCAAAAAAAACCGGAATTATTTTCTCCAGGGTGGGCCCCTTGTAGTACAGGCTTCCCCCACTAGGTGACTGTTCTAGGCACCCATCTTTGTCAGTGTACCAACTGGCTTGTTGTGAGAGGCTGTGTTTGGCTTCAGTGAATTTTTTTTAGGACTGTCAACACATTTGCCTATTTCATGATGGGTGATTTATGAGCGCACCTGCCCATACCTCACTGAGTTGTTCAGCAGTTTTTGACCAAATACACCATGACTCCCATGCCCTACCCTTCCTATTCACTGATCTTGCCTCAAGCAACTTTTTTTTTTTTCCCCAAATGAAAAAATCCTCAAACGGAAACATTTTGCCAATGTGGAAGAGGTGAAACAAGAAACTGCAGAAGCACTAAAAGACATCAAAATCGACGAGTTCAAAAACTGTTTTGAGCAGTGGAAAAAATGTCTCAATAGGTGTATTGCATCAAATGGAGAGTACTTTGAAGGTGACTGAAGTTTAAACATGTAAGAATAAATACACAATATTTTATACATAAATTCCGGGTCTTTTTGGGTCCCCCCTCGTAAGCTCCTGAGGACAAGATTGTATCTGATCCTCACTCTAGTCCCCTCAGAGCTGCATATGCAGGGGACACATAGTACATCTGATTAATTGTACTCAAGCATGAAGAAGAGCAATGGCGAGGAATACCCAAAATTTCTCTCTGACTTTTCTAACATGTTTGAGTATGAGTGGTCTTGGACTGTATCATATTTTGCATAAATAAATGAGACCACATGGAGAAGATCTAAGTTAGGAAGAACTGAAAGGTGGTCTAGTTTCTTGTGTCCCTCTGCTCATAGTACCCCTTCTCTTCCCATTGGTAATGGGAATAACATCATTTCACTAGACTGATCACCACCAGAGGAAGGTGAATCAGTCTTGTTTGCTTCTTCCCCAGATAATGAATTACATGGCATCTGGTTTAAATTATTTTGGGGACACAGTGTAAATGTTTAAGTAACAGAATCTAGAGATTTTAATGTCTTAGCACTTCATCATGTACTTTGTTTAATTATGTTAAAATCTTGGATATAAGATTTAAAGTAGTTTACAGTATAAGTAATTAAGATTTTATTTGCAGATGGTTAGATTTGGGTGGGGATACAAGTTTAAAGAAGGACATTAGGGTACAGAAGGTCACTGACAGTTATAGGCAGTTATTTGAGTTAGGAGATGGATAGGGTTGGTGACAGCTGAACTACTGAGATTCAGTGAGAGGAAACTTTTGGTGAGCAAGGAAGGCGATAGGGACAGGCTGGTGGCAGGAAAAGGAACCTATATGCAGTTGGTGGTGAGATGGGTAGGATGCAGTTTAAAACAAATGGGTTAACATCTGAATGTAGGCTGTACCAGTCAACCCCAGATGCCACCGTTCCCACTTCCAACCCCTCAGGAAAAACTGCAGAAGTGCCTGGAGCCCCTGGAGCAGAAGCTGCAGGAGATCACCCGCTGTAAGTCCTCTGAAGAGAAGAAGCCTGCAGAGCTCAAGGTAAAGGCAAGAGGTCCCATTTGGGCTTCACAACAGGAAATTAACCAAACATTAACTACATGTTATTTAATCCACCAGTTCTGATTAATTAAAAAAACGCTGTTCTCTCAAAAATGATAGTATTTTCTTAGGTTTGATTGTCATTAAACATTGTACTTAAAATTACTTGTCATGAATTAAGTGTTGAGGAGAAGGATCAAAGAAGTGAAGGACAGACAGAATGTCTTACATCTGGCGAGTTGAGAAAGTTCATGCCTCTTGGTCTCCTTTTCTTTGTATGGCAGGGAAGGAGGCTCCACTAGGAGTGCAGACATAGGAGTTTCTTAGAGCAACTGAAGGGAGGAGAATTTGGAAGGTTCACTGGGCAGGAAGGAAGAAGGAACTGACCAAGAGTTTCCAGAACTGCCTAATGACATTAGGACCACATTATCTTAAGTAAGCTCAACAATGCCAGGTGATATTCCTAGAATGTTCTTTCCCTCCCCGTCCTCTACCTGTAAGATCCTATCTGTCCTTTAGGCAACTTGAAAGCCACTTCCTATGCAGCTTTTCCTGACCCTTCAGAAATTAGCTCTCTTAATTTCATATGGTTTTGCATCTTTTTCATAGCATTACCATATTTGTAGCATGATGTTCTGGTATCTCTCTTATTTCTTCTGTTGGACAGTGAAAAAATATTAATAATAACAGTAACAATAACCAATATTTATTGAATTCTGGGCATTAATTCATTGAGTGTTCATGACATTCAAAACTTACAGCATTGTATTAGGACTTAGGGCTCTGCTCCAGCTGAACTTACAAGTTCAGGCTAGATAACAAGAAGCCAGATAACAAAGGGAAGGAAGTCGTAAGGTCATCTTTGGCAAGTGTTGTGGTCCCTGTCTTTGGCAACTTAGATACCTTATAAGGTAGGTATTATTATCCCCAATTTACACAGGTGGAAGCAGAACCTGGATAGTCCAGGTCTAGTTCAAGATCATACAAGCAGTTTGTGGCAAAACCGGGGATACTAGTTCAGCCCCTGCCCTCCTTGAGCTTACAGTCAAGTAGACAAAATAAATAATAATGTGGCGTAAAAAGCATACTTGCAAGTTCACAAGACAACGTAGAAATTGGACTTCATTAAAGGATTCCAGAAGAAATATGAGCTTTTGATGTTGAGATTTCGGGCTCCCCAGAAATTAAACACATTTGAAAATAGTAGAAACACTAATTATTTACCAATGACATTTCAACAGAAAGCAAGGGCTTTACCTTAGTTCTGTATACATTTTAACAAAGCAAACATTTGAATTTTTTTTAATTTTTTTATTGATTATGCTGTTACAGTCGTTCTATTCCCCTCTTCATTCCCCTCCACCCTACCCCCCCATCATTACCCCCCCTTTAGTTTATGACCATGTGTCTCAATTCCTTTAGATTCTATATTTCCCATGCTATTCTTGCCCCCCCATCTATTTTCTATCTACTGTCTATGCTACTTATTTTCTGTACCTTCTCCCCCCTTCTCCTCCTCCCACTCCCCTGTTGCTAACACTCCTTGAGATCTTCATTTCTATGTTTCCACTCCTGATCTAGCTGTCCTTTTAGTTTGCTTTTGTTTTAGGTGTGGTTGTTAATAACTGTGAGTTTGTTGTCCTTTCACTGTTCATGTTTCTTTAACTTCTTTTTCTTTGATAAGTCCCTGTAACATTTCATATAATACGGGCTTGGTGATGATGAACTTCTTCAACTCGACCTTATCTGAGTAGCACTTTATCTGTCCTTCCATTTGAAATGAAAGTTTTGCTGGATAGAGCAATCTTGGTTGTAGGTCTTTGGATTTCATGACTTGGAATACCTCTTTCCAGCCCCTTCTTGCCTGTAAGGTCTCTTTTGAGAAATCTGCTGACAGTCTGATGGGGACTCCTTTGTAGGTGACTGTCCCCTTAGCTCTTGCTGCTTCTAGGATTCTCTCCTTCATTTTAATTTTGGCTAATGTAATGATGATGTGCCTTGGTGTGTTCCTTCTTGGGTCCAACTTCTTTGGGACTCTCTGAGCTTCCTGGATTTCTTGGAAGTCTATTTCCTTTGCTAGATTGGGGAAATTCTCCTTTATTATTTGTTCAAATAAGTTTTCCACTGGTGGCTGTGCCTTTCCCCCTTCTGGTACCCCTATAATTCAGATGTTGGAGTGTTTAAAGATGTCCTGGAGGTTCCTAAGACTCTCCTCATTTCTTTGAATTCTTGCTTCTTGACTCTTTTCTGTTTGGCCATTATTTGCTTTCTTCTGGTCCACTCCATTGATTTGAGTCCCAGTTTCCTTTTCATTGCTATTGGTGTCCTGTGCAATTCCATTCATTTCAATGAGTTTCGCCTTCATATATTTGTCTAATTTGTCGGTATAATCAACCAGTTCTGTGAGGATCCTGATGACCAGTGTTTTAAACTGTGCGTCTGTGAGTTTTGCTATTTCTTCATCGCTTAGATTTATGGGCGCTGGGGCTTTGAGATCTCGCGACATTTTTGGTCTGTTCTGGCCCTTTAAGTGTGAGAAGCGGTGCCTTGGACTCCCAGGTCGCTGGGTTGTGACGCTGTATGTGGGGGCATGGTCAGGTGGGGAAATGGCGACCCCCTCTGCTGTTTCTCACAGCTGGGTGAGGATTAGCGTCTTAGGTGGTTCACCTGGGCCGGGCCACTCAGAGTCGCTGGGTTATGACGCTGTATGTGGAGGTGGGGTCAGAGCAGGGAAATGGCGGCGCCCTCCACTGCCGCTTGCTGCGGGGACCCGCCGGGCTCGGGTCCAACCGCCCACTCCCTCGCCTGTCCGCTCGCGCACAAATGCGCGACCACAGTCAACACGCAGCACCGCTCCCCCCGCTGTCTCCCCCACAGTCGCTCGCCTGGTGGCTCACTCGGTCGCTCACTAGGTCCAACCCTGTACCTGGATTCCGCGCGTCTGGATTCCGCGCCTGAGTCCGGCTGACCGAGACCTCCTGTGCAATCCCGCTTCACCAGCCGCTGGTTTCGCCCCTTACCGGTCAGGCTGAAGAATTTGTTGTTAATGGACTTCCGAAAAGTTCAATTTTCCGTGTTCTGGCTGTGTTTTCTGTTGCTAATATTTAGTTGTCTCTAAACTTGGTTGTGTGAGAAGGCACGGCACATCCACCTATGCCTCCATCTTGGCGGAAGTCTGAATTTTTTTAATTCAACTAATTTTGATTGCAAAGGTGAACTTTAAAAAAAGTTCTTTGATCTTTTGGAGGGCTCCTGAGAAACTTAAAAATATGAAAATGTGTTTCTTCCCAGTCATCAACTTTACTCTTCCTGTTTATCACCTTCTTAAAGGTAAGGGCTAGAAAGGGGAATAAAAATGTTTAAAACCCTCTAAATACTTAAACAGAGATGTGGTGTTTTTAAAAATGTAAGTTACCACCAACCTTCTTTTTGTGACCATTTGAATTCTCCCTCCTTTTCACTCATCTCCACCTCCAAAATCAGACCCAATGCCCTTTTTAAAAATAATTTGTGCGCGGGCCTGCGAACCAGACAGTCACGGTTCGATTCCCAGTCAGGGCACCTGCCCGGGTTGCAGGCTGGTTCCCTGCAGGCCAGTTCCCAGCAGGGGACGCACGAAAGGCAACCATACATTGATGTTTCCCTCTCTGCTTCCCTTCCCCTCTAAAGATAAATAAATAAAATCTTTTAAAAAAATAAAATAAAATAAAAATAATTTGTAATTATTTTTATGTAGATAAAAATATTCTATCTATATGATTTTACAAAGAGACTTTCATGTCCAAATATAGTGTAATATAATGAAAAGAAAAGTAATTTGTAACAAAATATGCTGTGTAATATTTGAACATGACTACTCTGAAAGACACTACAGAGTTTTATCCTTGCACCTACACATGACATCATCAACAATGCAGCAAATACAAATTTCAACTGAAGTTATTATGAAGTAATGTTGACTCAAATACCGCAAGCATCTTAGCTCGTGGTAACATAATTTTCAAAAAGATAAGTAACCTCTGGTAAAGTTTAAAAAATATATACAGTCTTATTCAGCCATTCCTGAAGAATTCAGATATATTAAAAGTGTAGAAGAAATACTCTGTGTTTATATATAAAACGGCACCAAAGTTCAGGCCTATGTCTTTGAATGTGCAGCAGAACAAAGATGGTGAAGGACAGTTCATCAGGGTTGAACAATATGTGAGGCAGGATTGCCTCACATATTGGTGGAGTAACTAGCATTTTTTCCAGGAGTGCTCCCAATCATGATAAATAAAAAATGCACCACAACCTGTTTCTAAAATACACCTAGAGGGAGGTAAAATACCCTCCTTAAGAACCACTGCCCTACAAATAGAGTGAAAAAAGAGAAGGAATTATAGAGTTGTACGAGGGAGAGCCATTTTGCTTCCTTTTTACCACATTTATGAATCCTGAATTCCACCCATTTATCAACCCTAAACACACACACAGGCTGCTGTGCTTTATGTAAGGGTAAATGTAATGGAAATGTATTTGGTTTTAATGTGGGCCTGAGACGACAACAGTAAAATGGGAGCAGCGGCTGCTCTAGCACTGGAGCTGGAGCTAGTCAGCCTCTCCTGGAAACTAGCTTGAAATCCAGAAATAGCAGGCGTATACAACCCATCCTTGCTTTGGGGTGCCACTCCTTATTCACTCTCAGTCCTGCCTTTCAGTGCCTATCCACTTTCTCCTTCCACAATCCCAGTCTCTGTGTCTCACTTTGCTCCCCTCTTGGGTTGCTTCCTACCCATCAGTGACATCACACTTGGAGAATCCTCCTTTGGGGAGATCATTTCTTGTTGCAGTATGAGTACAGAAGGAAGATGAGTTTGCTGATAACCCCCAGAAATAGTTCTGACTGCTGTTTGAGTCCTTATCAAATTTCAGGAGTGTTAGAAGTTCAACTACATGTTCTGGCTAAGAGAAAGCATGTTTCAAATTTCAAGCAACTCATTTACTAAGAAACTTTGAGCCCTGGTTGGTGTGGCCTTGTGGATTGAGCACGGGCCTGCCAAACAAAGGGTCACTGGTTCAATTCCCAGTAGGGCACAAGCCTGGGTTGCAGCCCAGGTCTCCAGTAGGAGGGAGTGCAAGAGGCAACCACACACTGAAAAAAATTTTAAAAAACTTAGGAACTTGTTTCTAGGATGGCAACTATCAATTCTCTGAAGTGACTTGAAACTGTTTAACAGGTTCAGCCCTGAAATCTACATTTATATTTGTAACAATCTGATACAGACCAGGCCCGCAGCTTCAGTATGTTGTGGATACAATGAAAAAAATCACACAGACTGCAAAAGTCCTGTGGAGGAAAAGGGATGGCATGGCCACTGAGTAAGAGAAGGCTCCAACCCCTGCCTGGACAGGCTTTTATTGCTTTCTGGGCACATTACATGGAGGATGGCTCTCATTTACTGTGCACAGGTTTGCTTTAGGTGGTTACCTTTTACAGAAAACAAAGGAGAGGATATTGCTAATTACATCACAGAAGAAGGATATTTGCAAATGCAAAGGGAAAAGTGGTTAAACTGGTTACACTTGTCCTTGGGAGGTTTAGCATAGATTTTAGGAAGTTACTTTAAAGATATGCAGTAAACATTTGCTTGCCTCAATTCAGGGTGAGGGAGTTTTAGCAAAAGCAAGACTCAAAAAAGCTTAGATACAATGTAGGCCTGATTCCCCACCAGAGAACCTGTCAGTGGGTGTGGGTCCTGTGTGCCAACCTTCCGGTCAGTTTTCTGAATCAGTCTGAATCAGAGGCTGGGCTACATTCCCCACACCACGCAAAATGGTCCCCTAGAACAGTCCACTACTAAAATTTTACTGATTCTGATACTTTTGCAGTTGATTATATGTGGTATTTTCAACATACAAATGATGACAATCCTAGCTCATCACTTTCTGGTATTTGTACTTTCTTTTTCTTAACAAATTATAATGGCTAGAACTTTATCATCAGACATATCCAATATTTCTGATGATTGAAATGGTTTGTCATTATATTATTGAGTTCTTAAGTCTTGAATTATTTTTACTAAAACATAAAAATACAGCTTTTTAAAAGTTAATTAAAGACAATTAAAACTTTCTTAAACATTGATTTTTATCTCCCCAGAGGTCTTCACTCCCAGGACATCAGTGGGGGTGACAATGGAGATAGAGCTATTCTTTACAGAAGGAAATTGCAATGGAGAGAAACATGAGTGTCCTGTTAAACTGTTTTTAACAACACTGGAATCTGTATTAATTCACACACATGGCAGGTGGGGAAAGGGACTCTGTTCCCCACTGGCTCTGCTAAACATAGCACCCTCCCTCTTTTTTCAGAGACTAGTGGAGAGTCGCCGACAGCAGATCTTAAAGGAATTTGAAGAGCTTCATAGGCGGCTGGATGAAGAGCAGCAGGTGTTGCTTTCACGACTAGAGGAGGAGGAACAGGACATTCTACAGCGCCTCAGAGAAAATGCTGCTCACCTAGGAGACAAACGCCGGGACCTGGCCCACTTGGCTGCCGAGGTGGAGGGCAAGTGCTTACAGTCAGGCTTCGAGATGCTTAAGGTTCGACCTTTGCCCCTGCGTAGTCCCTCAGGTCGAGCACAGTATAGCTTTGCACAGGCTGTTCTGTCAGCCCGGGATGCTCACTTATCTGCTTTGCTTCTTTAAACCCAGTTCTTTCTTCTAGACATACTCAAAGCATCTATTTCTACAGAGAGGCTTCTCTGATTTCTCCCAACCCCTTCTAATCATTTCTGTGTTCTTATGTCTTGTCAATAATTATGTGCTTATGCCAAAGGAAAAAATCCACTCTTTTGAAAGGAGGGAAGTCTAGTCTGAATTCATGAAAAAAGCTATGCATTAAAAATTGTGTAAATGCAGTTACCATTACTTTTAAGTCCTAGAACTTGATTTACCTACTGCTAAAAAAGAATAGAAACTAGTTTGAAAGACACTTGAAATTATGTATAAAAAATATATTGTTTTTGATATGTAAATGCCTCTAAAATGTTTGAAATCATTTGTTCTTTTAAGCAGATGCATCGTGTTAGCAAGGCTGTAGGAAATATGTTTCTTACCTTAGAAATCAAACTACCAGCATTTGAATCAGTGAGGTGCCATTGTACATTGATCTGCATGCTAATGTACTCCTTGGTGTTTATTCTTATGTCCTTTCATGTATGTGTGTTCTGCCTTCCACATTAAACTGGGAAATCCTGGGGGCAGAGATTTGTCTTCTTTGTCTTCTGGACCCCAAGTATTTGCAAATCAGGATTGGCACATAGTTCTTAATGTTTATTAACCAGTACCAGACAGGGGATGCCAAACGATAGTGGGAAGTATGATCCATTCCTATACTGCTAGTCTGGAACTATCTGTAATGATCCTCAAGGAGACAGGTGTGTGGTTGGTACTTGGGGGACAGAGGGAAGAGCAGACACAATCCCTGCACTTGCATTGAGCTCCCAGGGTCCTTGAGGAACAAAGACAAACACAAGAAACCATTTGGAAGTGATGTAAATTTCCAAGCTTCGTGATGACCAGAAGTTGTAAGTGGGAATGAGGTTGGGAGAGATGTACTACTCAGATCCCTCGGAAACTCTTCTCCTTTCATTGTGACCCTCAGTTTACCCTATTCCTATTTTAGAGATCTAGAACTTTTGGGTGGAGGGGGATCCTTTTGCTTGTAGGGACAGGCAAAAGGATCCCCCTCCTTAATTACCAGCACCAATATTGCTTTCTTTTCTCCTTCCCTCTAGGATGTCAAAAGTACCCTGGAAAAGTAAGTGATTCCTGCATCTCTCTGAGTGAGTTAGGTCTTGGCTTAGAGACTTAGAATACAGTGAGGAGTTGGGGGAATAAGGATGGAAAAGCCAGGCAGCTTCTGGGTAGAATATGGGAAAGGTTTATTACATCAATTAAGCCAGTTAGAGAGTGATCATAGGGAATAATAGCCCCTTACCTTTTTCCCGCTGAGCATCAGGACTTTCTTGTTAAGGAAGATATCAAGGTAACGTAGAACCAGATTCTCCCTGTGCCTGTGTGTGGAATTGTGTCCAAACTAGATGGAAGGAGAAAGGGGTTGGGAGAAGGGAGGGTAATTACCCATTTGCATGAAATATAACAATATCCCCAGAAAGTTCCAAGACTCATTCTTAAGATAAGGATTTGTCCAAGGGACCATATGGCTCTCCGTAGATTGGCCAAAGAAAGCAATACGCAAGTGTTTGTCCTCAGGTAGGAGGGAGAAAGTGGGAGGATGGAGCTTCCCCTGACCCTGCCCTTTCTTCCCCTATCTCCCTGTCCCTCCTAGATGTGAAAAGGTGAAGACCATGGAGGTGACTTCAGTATCCATACAACTTGAAAAGAACTTCAGCAATTTCCCCCGACAGTACTTTGCCCTAAGGAAAATCCTTAAACAGCTAATTGGTGAGTTGTTCCCAAAAGAAAGGAAGAGAGGAAATTCACAGAGAGAAGAAAGTGTTTAGGTCCTACTTCATACGGGCTTCAGTTGTCCTGTTTGTTGTTTCCCATGCCCACACCCACACCCACCCCTTTACCTGGCTTTAGATCGCTCAGAATCACAGAATCCAACTGAAAAGCCAGAGTTGTCCTCTACTTTTAGGCCCACATTTTCTTAATAGGGACTGAGAAAGGTTAAATAATTCGCCTGAAATTTGTTCGCTCTTGAAAGTGAAAGAGAATGTCAATAATTTATTCACAGAAAATGGCCATAAACCTAAACAGTCATTTAGGACTATCCCTAAACCCTGATGGTGTCTTCTCTGTATCCTTCTCAATGTACATTTTCCATTCTTGCCCTTGTACTGTGCCTGGTGCTTCTCTGCAGTGAGATGATGATGTCAGGGACCGTGGAGGGAAGACCAGGCATAAGGAGCCTAAATCACTAGCCCTTACAAAATGGAGAGCACATTATTTGCTTATTTTAGGGCTGGGGTGAAATGTGAGGCTGGTGTTTCTTCCCCTCCCTCAAGTGACACCATGGATTGAGAAAGTTAACCAAACCACTGCATTTGGGGGACCCCTAAAAGAACAGGCTCTGAAAGGCAGGCTGGAAGAGTGAGGCAGGGGTGTTGAGCTATTCCCATCCTCATCTAGCTCCCCACTCTGGCTTCTCCCGCCAGCGGATGTGACCCTGGACCCTGAGACTGCTCATCCTAACCTAGTTCTGTCAGAAGATCGTAAAAGCGTCAAGTTTGTGGAAACAAGACTCCGGGATCTACCTGACACACCACGACGTTTCACCTTCTATCCTTGTGTCCTGGCTACTGAGGGTTTCACCTCAGGTCGACATTACTGGGAAGTAGAGGTGGGAGACAAGACCCACTGGGCAGTGGGTGTGTGCCGGGATTCTGTGAGCCGAAAGGGCGAGCTGACCCCACTACCTGAGACTGGCTACTGGCGGGTGCGACTGTGGAATGGGGACAAATATGCAGCCACCACCACGCCTTTTACTCCTTTGCACATCAAGGTGAAACCCAAGCGGGTGGGCATATTCCTAGACTATGAGGCTGGCACACTGTCTTTTTACAATGTCACAGACCGCTCTCATATCTACACCTTCACTGATACTTTTACTGAGAAACTGTGGCCCCTCTTCTACCCGGGCATCCGGGCTGGAAGGAAGAATGCTGCACCACTTACCATCAGGCCCCCAACAGACTGGGAGTGACAGGTAGGGACATGGGAATAACTGGAATGAGGCAGGACCAAGAGCAATGGGCCTTCCTTCCTGTGACCTGCTGGAATGTCTTCATGTCTGCCTGGTTCCAGTCCTGGACCATCTGGGAGAGACACCTTGGTTTCTAGAATGCTTTATGTGGAGGAGTAGGTAGGACTGGTCTAGGATGAGAGCACAGCTACGTCTCCTCCCTGAGTGAGGAGCTAGTTCCCAGGGGATCATCTTCCCTGAAGTTCATCAGGTTTTCTATTACACAGGACAGGTTGGGAAGGAAGGAGAGGCTTTTCCAGAAACAAAAAAATCTCTGGGAGAGTCTGACATGCTCAGACCAGAGGAGGAAACAGGACCCCCTATACATCGGGGATTCTTTAATCCAGAATAGTTGTGTTTCTTGAGGAAGAGCACAGAGGTGTGTATACCTCTAGATTGAAATGAAAATAAATGACAGTTGCTTTCACGGGTCTAGAAGTTGAGTTTTTCCAAGAGCAGAGATTGGGCATCAAAAATTTAGAAGGTTAGGGAAGGCAGCCAAAGGAGCAAATTGCTAGAGACTAATGGAGAGGATTTCTTTGGTCTTCTATACCCAGAGTGAGGTTGCCATTGTCAGTAGATTGGCCAGAGGAGAGGGTGAGAAAGAAGAGGAGAACCTAGGTCCCTATCTCAGTCTTCAGAAGTGGCTTATTGCTTGCCTCCTTATAGTTGATTGTCTCCAAGAAGTCAGGTACCTTCCTCTTCAGGGGTGAGGTGCCAGAGATCCGGTAAGACAGTTTACCCTTTAACTGCTTTCCCAGGGGAACTTGGAAAGGAGAGAGTCAGGTATTAGAGAAAGAGAAACAGATTTCTATCCAAAGCTCTGGCCTTAAAGAATGTTACTAGTTAGTCCCAAGTTGTTAGCCTTATTACCTGGCTAAGGTGTCCAAGCCAGAAATGGAGAAAGGAAATGGAGTCTTCCTCACTCTGAGGACAGGGTAGAGGAGGGTGGCGTGTATAAGGAAGGGCGAGATGGGCAACTTCCTTGTGCTTGTGTGCATCTGGCCTGGAACTAGTGTTCACAGGAGCCGGTCTTCTGCTTGTTTGCTGCCATCTTCCGCCATTTGCCATTTCCTCTATCAGAGAATGTAAATCATTTAATGTTAGGCCAAAATAAACAATCTCTAGGGTACATATGTTGTCAAAAAAGGTAAAGTAATACATGCCAAACCAAACTAAAATGACTTGGACTATCTGCTACTTGGGTAATGGGGTTCACAGAAGGTTGGGATAAGAAACTGCAGCTTAGGACATTTCAGTTCCTCCCACCACCTCAACAGGACTCTGTTCAGACTCTCCTCTTACCTTTGTGCCTTGACTGTGGTTCTTTGTGGCAAGATGCTTTGGTTGGTAAAACAATATGGAACAAAGGATCCACTGAAGTGATCTCTGTGTTGTGTGGTAATTTGACGACTGTTTCTCTTGATGTATAAGAATCACTGTTAAAAATGCATGTTCCTGGGCTCACCCTTAGTGTTGTTCAAGGTCTGTGGTCCACCTACATTTTAAGCATACTTCTTTCATTTGATTCTGGGAATACTTGTGAAACTCATCCCTGAAAAGGTTTCAGACACTGCTGAGCTGGAGTCCTGGTCCCCTACCCAGCCTGATGGGGTTTGAGAGGGAAGAAAGACCTCACCCTCCCCTGATGTAAACTGCCCTCTTCCTGTCTCAGGGTTCATTCATGTTCTGCTCCTCCAGCTCATATCCCTCTACTCTGATCTTAGGAATTGGAGGCCCTTAACTATGAAGCAGAAGCAAATAGGATGCCAAAAAGAACAAATGGGACACAGCAAGGTCAGAGGGAGGGATTGTGATCCATGTCTGTCTGTGTCGGGGGTAGGGTATAGTGTCAGGGGCAGGAGATACTGCTGTCAAGTTTCTGTGTCCCAGTACCTGTTACTAGGAGTTAGTGAGGATCACCTGCTGTGTGTTTAGGACTGCATAACAGGAAATGTGTTTGTTTGGTTAAGTGGAAAAGAGCTGTGTTCTCTGAGGGCCTGGAGCCCTCTTCCTTCACTCCACCACCCTCATGATCCTTTAGAATTTCACTCCCAGTGACACCAGTGTTTGTTTTTTTTTTATGTGTAACTGCTGTTCCTTCTACCTGTAGATCTTCCAGATATCCACCTTTGGCTGCAGAGAGTAGGGCAGAAGGTCTGTCTGGGTATAAATTGCACAGAACCATCTCCCCACCCTAGCTGCCAAAGGACCTGTCTTCTGTCCTGAAGATGTATAGCAGTTTGAGATCCTCTCCTGTTCTACTGGCCTCTCCAATCTTTACCTAGTATAACTGATCATGGGCTCCAGTCTACCTAATATAACGGATCGTGGGCTTGAATAAGACTAGAAAGGGAGCTAGAATTCATACATGGACCCTGGCTTAGAAACAGATGGATCTGTGAGGCCGCAAGGTGGCGCCAGAGTAAGGACCAGAGTGGAGCGCCTTCCCAGCAGGCTTTGCGCTGTTGCTGGTGCACGTCAGTCTGAGGGGTGGGGCCTGCAGGTCTTCGGGGAGGGCTCTCCTGCTGGCCTGAATGGCGGGGCCAGTGAAGGACCGGGAGGCTTTCCAGAGGCTCAGCTTCCTGTACCAGGTGAGTCCGTGAAGGGGTAGCTCAGGGAGGGCCCTGGTGCCGCCAGCCACCAAGTAATCGCCCCTCCCCTAGGCTGCCCACTGCGTCCTCTCGCAGGACCCCGAGAACCAGGCACTGTCGAGGTTCTATTGCCGTACAGAGAGGACAATCGCCAGGCGGCTCGTCTTGAGGCGGTGAGACGCACAGAGCACAGCGGCCTGCGGGCCGGGTGGGTGGGGAGAGAGAACGCAAGGGCCGGTGTGCAGACCACCTTCCCCTCCTCCCGCAGGGACCCCTCGGTAAAAAGGACAGTCTGTCGAGGCTGCTTTTCCCTCCTCCTCCCGGGCGTGACCTGCACACAGCGCCAGAGAAGTGAGTGCGCATATCGGGGTGAGATAAGTAGGGAACACTGGAGGGCAAGTGACTCTTCCTCGCTTTGGATGGACGTTGGCTGTGGGATTCGCAGGAGCAGGAGTCGACTTTGTCCCAGTCTTGAATTAAGTTGTTAACTCGCTCAGGACGGGAAAGATGTTGCCAGATGAGGCAACCTCGCCCGTGTGTAAGAATAGATGTTATTTGGCATCGTGGAGAACGATTCGTTACCATTCATGCAACAACTATTTTTTTCTAAGATGTGCCAAACATTGTAATTGATTCATTATTCTCATTGAAGGTGTAGTGTGATGGGACAGGCTAAGACAGCAACAAAATAGTGTAGAAAAATGCTTTAATTTGGGGAGTAAAGTGCTCTTACTTATGCCAGTGGTGGTGAGATTCATGATAAGAGATAGTAGCAGATGGAAATTCTAGCCTTGTGTGTTGACCTTAAGATGAGAGGTTGTGGTGCTGAGAAGAAAATGAGAGTTTAGGAGGCTGGAGTGTGAAGTGCATATGACGTGAAGCTGGAAAAGGAAATGGCAGGTCTTGTAGAATCTTGTAAAGAAGTTTGGACTTCTTAAAAGAGTACCAAGAAATTGATAGTTTGTGCAGGGATCTCACACTATCAGATTTGCATTCAAAGTAGGGGAGAGGTGGAATTCGTACTAGAAAACAGTGGAGACAAAACTGGGTGCACGACACCTTTACTTCTCCTAAACCAAGGCACTCTGTTCCATTTTCCCACTTTCATACCAGGCTGCAGGGGACAGCGCTGGACAGTACAGACCTGCTTAACATGCCAGCGCAGCCAACGGTTCCTCAATGATCCTGGGCATGTGCTCTGGGGAGACCAGCCTGAGGCCCATCTAGGGAGCCAGGCAGGTAAGAAGTGGACAAAAATGTGGGATATGCCAGGCAGATAGGGATGATGGGGGACAGAGGGCTGAAGAGGACACATAGGTGAGTTCTGGGTTGACATGAGAGATGTCACAACCTTAGAAAACTTTAACTCTGCTCATTGTCCAGATTCCAAACCACCACAGTCCGTGCCAAACACAAGCCACCTTATTGAGGAGAAAGTGCAGCCTCAGAGTTCCAATAACCAGTGATGGATTCACCCTATCTTCCAAATAAATAAAGTTTAATTCTGTTTCACTTTGGAGAGTCTGTGAGTATTTCAACTCTTAATTTCATTATCTTCTGTTTCTGTCTGTATTCTCTGTCACCAGCTAATTTCTCCTTTGTCTTTATCATCCTCCTACTCCCACCATTCAGAGAGATCCAATCTCCGTAGACAACTTGGCCCCACCGAGCAGCTCACATATCCAGGATCCTTGTGCCCCTTCACACCTGCTTCCTAGTGCAGGGCCATGAACGGAACCAGGCTCTAGGATTGTCTGCAAAGGAGCTGAGCCTGCTTTGGGCGTTCCGTATTTGGGGCATTCCTGACTGAAGAGCTAGACAGACTGCTGTTTTTAAATGAGGAGGAAATTTTGTGGAGGGAGGACTTCAGATCCTCTCAGTCCCCTCAAGATCGTCTTTTCCAATCTCCAGGTTTTCTTCTTTAAAATTCTAATAAGGGAAACTGTACAAACCCAACTAACAAGATCAAAGATGGTATCAAAAGGACACTGGCAAACATTATTCAAGTAAGCTCCATAATTATACCCTCAAGGTTTTCTTGAGAATCAGTAAACAACAAAAACAGTATTTTTCAGCATTTCTGGAATTGCTATGTGCCAACTAATCAGTTTACCACAAAAATATACAAACAAAATTTACTATTTCCAGAATGCAGTATTCTTCCTGTTTTCTTATAAATCCTGTGTTTCACTTATGCTGCATTAAAATCAACAACTTCATCAAAACTCTGTAATGTTGTGGCTTAAATCAACAATGATTTTTTAGGCTGTCTGAGGGCTTGGCTGGGTGGTTCTTCTGTTCCAAACAGCACCACCTAGAGTAACTCCACTGCATGCCAAGTCCAAGCTGGTATGGCCCCATGTCATGGAACCAATCATCTCCAAGCTCTCACACAGGCACTGTAACCAGGGGGAGTTGCCTCCCAGTTAAGTCTTGGGTGGAAGTCCCTTCCATCCCCCTGGCTCAAAGCATGGCCACAGCTATTTAACATATCTATGCAACCAGTTAAGGGTTATAGATATGTTAAATTACCATTCCAGAGGTTAGCTGCAAAGCTGTTGTACAACACAGCTCTGCATGTTCCTGCTCCATGTGTCCCTTCCCCCAACTCACACCTGTTGGTGGGGGGAGCAGGTGAGGACATCCTATATATTTTTCTAATATTTCCTGGACATCTCGAGGTCTGGACCTCATTCCAAATCCCTATTTGAGGCCCCCCTCTTGGCTGTACCCTGTTACATGGGAGGAGGGTGGTGGTGCTCCAATGCTGCCTGTAGCAGTCCACTGTGTGCACTGACCTGAGTTTTTCAGGCCAAGGTCATCCTCCACCTGTGTTTTGTCTGGGGCTGTTGGGAACCGCCCTGCCTGGTTTCAGAAGCTGTAACACCCCATGGCTAAGGCCGAGCGAGCGACCTTCAGATCATAAGCCACTAAGGAGACAAAGCTTATTTCCCTGGCAGGGGTGCCACTTCTTTTTCTTCACCCTGCCTGACCCCCAGTGCTTGATTGGTTAGCCAATGATGGGTAAGATTACTCAAGGGAGGAGTGACCCAAGACAAACATGATCACGGGGAGGCCCCAGGGAAGGACTTGAGGGGCTACAGCAAAAGGGGGTGATGGACCCTCACCCCTCGGCTTTGACATAGCCTAAGTCCTCATTCTGTCTGGGCGAAGTCTCCTAATCTCTTGGCTGCCTTACTTCCCCTGTCTGGCTTAAGCCTGAAACAATGACAGAGGGTGGTGCAGCCCTGTGCTGGAAAGGGCGGGTTCCCTGGGTGATCAGGCCTAAGAAAGAATGTATAAAATCCTGTGAAACCTGCTTTGTTTAGAAAGCTCTCAATTAAATAATAAGGGTCTGAGCAGAAAATGACTTTGTTTCACAAAGTTTTGTAGCCCTTTAACTAACAGACCCTGACTCAGAATAAGCCTTAGTAGTTCTTTGTATGTTGTCTATTGTTTGATCCTTACTGCCCGACAATGATTAATGAGCTTTACCTGTATTCCTGTGCAAAATGAACCTAATAAAACGTCATTTAGAAAAAGGCTCTAGGTCCTTCTCCTTTGAGAGATCAGCTACCTTTCCTCCCCAAGCAGATCATGTCTTGGTAGACTTATTCTCATCTGTGGGAAACGGGAGGCTCTTCAGGCAAAGCTCCCCCACATGGGGCCACCCTGAGTGAGCTGTAAATCAATCTGAGATGACTGTTATTTGTGCTGGGCTTGGAGATTCCTAGGTGAAACCAAGCTGTGAATCTAGGCTGGCTTCTGTTAGTGCCAGGTCTGGGGCTTACTGAGGCCAGCTGTTGCTTGTTTGAGAGGATTTAGGAAGTTATGAATCATGAGCCAAGACCCACCATCCATATGGTAAAGGAGCTTGGGCGGGCCTGTCAGTTGGGTGGGGCAGAGTCTCTGGGGATTTCTAAGACAGGTCAAACAGTGTTAGCTAATTTGATGGAGTCTCTGATATGGCACCAGCTTGCCTGCTCTGTGATGGAGGGTTTAGGAAAGGGACAGTGGCCTCTGCTTGCCTTGATGCATCACCCATCTGGCAGCCATGAAACTGGTTTCTGTATCTATGAATCTGTTTCTTTATGTTTGTTCATTAATTTTGCTTGTTAGATTCAATTGTTGATATATATGTATTTATTGCCATTTTATTATTCATATGTGTTATTTTTCTCCCTCTTCTTCAAGAAAACCTTTTAACATTTATTATAATATTGGTTTGGTGGTGATGAACTCCTTTAGCTTCTTCTTATCTGAGAAGCTCTTTAGATGTCCTTCAGTTCTAAATGATAGCTTGTTGTGTAGTAATCATTTTAGTTCCTTGCTTTTCATCATTTTAAATATTTCTTGCCAGTCCATTCTGACCTGCAAGGTTTCTGTAGAGAAATCAGCTGACATTCTTATGGGAGCTCCCTTGTAAGTAACTAACTGCTTTTCCCTTGCTGCTTTTAATATTCTCTCTTTGTCTTTGAACTTTGACATTTTAATTATGTTGTGTCTTGTTGTATGCCTCTTGGGTTCATCTTGTTTGGGACTCTCTGTGCTTCCTAGGCTTGTATGTCTTTATTTCCTTCACCAGGTTAGGGAAGTTTTCTCTCACTTTTTCTCCCTGGTTTTCAATCCCTTGCTCTTTCTTTTCTCATTCCAGCATCTCCACGATGCAAATATGTGTGAAGTTTTCTCAGAAGCTCCTTATACTACCCTCACTTTTTGAATACTTTTTTCTTTTTGCTGTTCTCAATGGGGATTTTCTGCTTCTTCATCTTCCAAATCTCTGCTTTCATTCTCTGCTTCATCTACTCTACTGTCGATTCCTGTAAGATATTCTTCATTTTAATTAATGTATTCTTCATTTATGACTGGTCCTTTTTTATTTCTTTCTTTATTTCTTTTTAGAGAGGGGGGAAGGGAAGGAGAAAGAGAGGGAGAGAAACATCAATGTGTGGTTGCCTCTCTCATGCCCCCAACCAGGGACCTTACCTGCAACCCAGGTATGTGCCCTAACTGGTAATCAAACCAGCCACCATTTGGTTCACAGCTCACACTCAATCCACTGAGCTACACCAGCAAGAGTGACTGGTCCTTTAAAAAAAATGTATTACATTATTGGAGTGACACTGATCAATAGGGCCATTGTGTACATGTTTCAAGCGTATACATCTGTGAAACAAGATCTGTACACTGCACTGTATACCCACCACCCCAAATCAAACCATCTTTTGTCACCATGTGTTAAGCCCCCACTACCTCCCTTCCTTCAGGTAGCCTCCACACAGCTATCTGTGTCCATGAGTTTCAGTTTTATATTCCACATATGAATGAAATCATATGGTTCTTAGCTTTTTCTCACTGACTTATTTCACTGAATAATATACTTAGGTCCATCCATGTTGTTGCAAATGGCAGCATTTCATCTTTTCTTATGGCCGAATAATATTCTAGTGTTTACATGTACCATGTCGTCTTTATCCAATCCTCTATTACAGGACATTTTGGTCTTAGCCACTGTGAATAACACTGCAATGCATGGGAGATACATCCATCTTTACAAATAGATGCCTTCAAGTTTGGGGGGTAGGTATAGCTGGGCCATATACTAATGCTATTCTTAATTTTTTAAGGAACTGCCAGACTGTTCTACATACTGGCTCTAACAGTCTACATTCCAGCAATGAGGGTTTCCTTTTCTTTACCATTCCAACACTTGTTATTACCTGTCTTGTTGATAATAGCCATTCAATTAAGTGTAAGGTTACAAATGTTGTAATTTTGTTTTGCATTTCCCTAATAGCTAGTGAAGTTGAACATCTTTTCATATATTTGTTGGCTGTTTGTATATGTTCTTGGGAGAGATGTTTGTCAGATCCTTTGCCCGTTTTTTAATTAGGTTTTTGGTGCTGAGTTTCATAAGTTCTTTATATTAACCTTATGTTAGAACTGTTGTTTGTAAATATCATCTCCCATTCAGTGTGTTGTCTTTTTGTTTTGTTGCTGTTTTCTTTTGATTTTTAGTTTAATATAGTCCCATTCATTTATATTTTTACATGAAAGAGCACCTGTATACATGTTTTATTAAACTATTTAATGTTTACATACAATAATAAATTTTTTGAAACTTCAAAGTTCTTTGATGATTTCAATATTGTTTTCAAATTAGCATGGTAGAATCTTAAATATTACATCATTCCAATTATTTTTTAAAGAGCTACACCTCTAAGAGATCACTCCAGCATAATTGGCCATTAAGTATCCAACAAAACTGGGTTCCTAGCTGTTTCAGCATATGGATGGTTCCTCTACTACCTAGGCGCCCTCTGTGACAACTTTAACACATTTTTGGCCATTGTCTGTGAGGCTCTGCTGATTGAGTCTGTCATGTAGAAGTCTTTTATTGTTAGCTGAGGTAGAACAAGGAGATTAGCAAGAAGTTGCTGGTTCACTAGCTTAGAGAGCTCACTTGCCTGCTGGAAATAATTAGCTCCTTCAACATCATCATATCAAACAAG